TCAACGCAGCTAGAGGTGAGTTAGTTACTCGGGTGGGATCAAGGTGGTGATTCGGCTGAGTGACATAGGAAGGGACAGCTGGTCTTCGGGGGTAGGGTCGCCTCATGAGGGTGAGAGGAGCAGAAGAGGAGAGACATGGAAGCCCCGTGGGGAGGGTGCTAGGGCCCAATGCTGTGGCCTTGAAGACAGTTAGGCAGGAAGGGTATCACGAGGGAGTGGAAATGGCAGGACCCAAGGCTTAGGATAGGAACCAGAGTGTCAAGGTTCTCAGAGCCTCTTCCCACCCCACCCCCCTCCCCAAGGTGGCAGAACAGCTCATCAACCCTTTCGGAGAGGATGATGATGATTTTGAGACCAACTTTATCATTGACAGAAACCTTCAGGTATGGGGGATGGGGGGAGACTGTACCATGGATCTTTCTCAGACTGGATCCCAAGAGGGGCCCCAGCAGTTTTCCGAGGAGACTCCACAGCAAATATCCTCCCCTTCTCAAACATTAGCCCTTTTCTCAGTCAATCATTCACTCCCAGTACTCACACCTCAACTTTGGAGGCTGCAGGTGGGGAAACTGAGGCCCCTGCCCAGTCTATTGGATACTCCCCTCTATTCTTGGCAACCAGGTATCCCTGTTGTCTGTGGATGAGATGCACCAGGATTTGCCTCCCATGGAGCGTGACATGTACTGGAATGAGATAGAACCTCAACCTCCCTACACAGCTGCTTCTGCCCAGTCTCGTCGGCCATCCTTCTTGGGCTCGACCTTCAACATCAGGTAGGCAATGCCAGAGACCTGGGCGAGGAAACGGAAACACTCAAGTAAGGCTTCCCTAGTAACTTGGAACAGTTCTTGCTACTACCACACGATGCGTGCCAGTAACGACTAGCTAGTGGACTAGGCTCTCTCTCTCTCTCTCTCTCTCTCTCTCTCTCTCTCTCTCTCTCTCTCTCTCTCTTTGAGACAGGGTTTCTCTGTGTAGCTCTGGCTGTCCTGGAACTCACTATGTAGACCAGGCTGGTCACAAACTCACTGAGCTCCACCTGCCTCTGCCTCCTAAGTGCTGGGATTAAAGGTGTGGGCTGCCACTGCCCAGCTTAGACTATGCTCTTTACAGACATTCTTTTTTTCCCTCCCAATAACCTTTGTTTGTTATCTCTACTTCTCAGACAATTAAGTAAGTTTAAAAGGGGCAATAAAGTTGCCCAGCCCAAAGTTACATAAGTGAAAAAGAACACATGTGAGCTAGATGTCTAGATTCAGCTCCACATTCTTTATCTTTGGTTGGTTTACCTTGAGGTAGTCTCATACAGCCCAGGCTGGCTTCAAACTCACTATGTTGTTGGGGGTGTGTGTGTTACACTACAGGTTCCACTACCTTGGCTTTTGGTGTTTTGTTTTGTTGAAGACAAGTGTCTATGTAGTCCAAGCTGGCTTTGAATCTTTGACAGCCTAGGCTAGCCTTGAATTCACAATTCTCCTGCCTCAGTCCTTCCAGGCCTAGGACTATAGGTGGGAATCATCACTCTGTGGCTCTACCTTTATTATTATCATCATCATTATTATTACTATTTTCTTGAGACAGATCCCTGTACACAGTTCACTGTTTAGACAGGATGGCCTAGAACTCACAAAGATCCTCCTGCCTCTGCCTCCCAAATTCTGGAATTAAAAGACTTGCTGTGCCCCACCACACCTGGCTACCTCCACACTCTTAACCATCCACAGTGCTGTGTGAGGCCCTCCAGTCCAGTTTCCCCTCCCTTGTGTAGAGGCCTAGGAAGAGATAGGACCTTTCCAAGGGCAGCCAGTGCCTGACGATGCAGTGAGATGCCGAGACCGGCTTTCTAACTCTGACCAGAAAAACTAGCCTTTGTGTGGACACGGAAGTGTGGGAAGTCTGGGGTAGAGGAGGCACAGCAAGGCAGTCCCAGTCTCCTCAATAGACTGTCCTACAGAGAAAAGGCCTCCTTCCACCCACAGCAGTCATGCTTTCCTCTGTACAATCCCATTTCATCTGAATTCCTCCTGGATACAGTGGGCCAAATGGGCCTTCCCGCATCCCAACACAGTTCTCTGGATGACAGAGCTGAGAAGGCGCTGGAGTATCTGACATAATTTGCACACTGTACTGTGCTGTTCTCTCTTTGTTCTTTTATGACCCAAAAAGTCCATTGAACTGAAATCAGAATTAACTAGGAACATTTTGGAAGATGTTGAACTTGTTTCATCTGAACACCAGCGTTGAAGCTGGGTGGGGTCCCTGCCTCCAGGGCATGTGCAAGCTAGTGAGCTGAGCAAGCTCCCTCCCATGGCCGAAGACTGGGCAGGATGCAGAACAGAGGTTGCTTTTGATTTTCTGGGCCTGCATGTAGGTCTTAGAGCCAGGGAGGCTTTGGATGTGGGCAAAGGCTCTACTCTGGGTAAGAAGCTCTTTCTTACAGGTTAAAGATCCTGAAGCCTCAGGAAGTCTGCTGCCAGGAAGCCAAACACCCTTTTGGAAGATATTGTTCCCCACTGGGAAACAAATTCTTGGTTTTGTGTGGACACTACTGGGCCTTAGCTGAGCTGGCTTTACCAGGAGCAGTTATTCCCACAGCCTGGAGAGAGATGTTTGTTTGAACAGGGCTGATAAACAGGAGCCTGTGGAATTCAGGGGATTACTCTTAGTAAAAGCAGGAAGGCCTAAGTTTGATCTCCAGAACACACATGACAGTGACAGGCATGGTGGCACGCACTTGTAATCCTAGTGAAGAGAATGATGCAGAAAGACCCCGTAGATTGCTGGCCAGATAGACTAGCCTAATTGGTGAGTTTGAGGCTAATGGGAGACCCTACCCCAAAGAAGGTAGATGACTGGCGTTCCGGAGAATGCACACGGAGATTATCCTCTGGCTTTCACACAGGCATACACAGGCACACACCTCCCCCCTCGCATGCACACACCCCAAATGTGTAACGCTAGGCTGGGGAACTGAATGTTGCCAGTGAGCAAGAGGGAGCCTAGGGTGAACTAGGCCTTCAGAGACTCCCTGGGAAGGAGCGGTGAGAGCTGAGGCACAGGGAAGGCTGTGCAGCCTTGGTCCTGACCAGAGACCTGTGCCCGTCTTTCGGGTCCACCCACTTAGTCCTGTGCACACCTTTTCCTTCCAGCCTGCAAGAAGAAGACATGGAATTTCAGCCAAACGAGGAGGATGACGACAACGAGAACAATCATGGCAGTGTCATTGGCCGCTTCCTAGGGCTGCAGTCCAATGACCACCAACCTCCCAGGACAGACTCAAAGACCAAGCTATTGTGGTCCAGGAAGAACTCCTACGCCGAGGGCCAGCATAAGAATTCCAGGAAGAACTCCAGTGACCAGGAAGATAATGCCTGGAGACTTAAGGGTCTGAACACCTTCAGGGCTGCTCCACTGTTTGAGAGGCCAGGCTATCACAGTGCCCCACAGACACCCCTCAGCCACACTCCCATGGTCTTCCCTCCTGAGCAGTCAGCACCCTCCAAGCCTTACTTAGTCACAGGTATGGACACTAAAGACAAAAGCCTAACACCCATGACTTCTGAGACCAAGAACACTTTGTTTTAAAGATGTATTTTATGTATGTGTGTATGTCTTTTTGAGTATATGCCACATGTATACTGGTAACCCTGAGGCCAGAAGAGGGTGTTTGATCTCCTGGAGCTGGAGTTGTAGGCAGCTGTGAGCTGCCAGGTATGGGTGCTGGGAACCAAACTCAGGTCCGCTGGAGTGGGAGGGTTTTTGACATCCAGGCAATTTCTCAAGACCCACGCTGAATTGCTCCTAGGTGATGGGGCTTCCCCGGAGCACCAAGAAGCCAGTCACATGAAGAAGAAAACTGTGGAGTTTAACTTGAACATTCCAAAGAGTCCCGCAGGATACCCTAGAGAACCCCATTTGGAACAGCTGCCAACCAACATACACACCATACTGAAGGACCAAGTAGAGCCCCATCCCACCTTGGAAAACAGGTCTGTCCACCCCGATGAGGAACTGTATTGCCATATGCTTATAACCCAGTTTCTAAAGATCCCATTATTGCTGATGGGTCTGGGACCCCTGTCCCCACATAGTTAACAGTCATCTTGGCAAGAACGATGTGTTGGGAGGCCTTTTGCCCACTTCAGCTAAGTGCCTGACATCAGCAGAACACTTCTGGAAAGTGAAACTGCACTACAGAATGGAGGGCGAGCCATCTTGGGGAAGGGGGGGGGTAGTTGGCCAGGCTGTCTACTTTTTATAGGGATGGATGGCAACAAAAAGTCTTGAGATAGTACTAAGTCTCTAGTTGCTCTATCAGCTGGATGACAAACACTTGTCTATGGGCCATCCCTAAGCACTCCTCCTCCTCCCCAGGCATCGCACAGGTCTCCTGGGTATACCTTCTCAGGGCTTCCAAGCAGCTGAAAAGCTGTCACCAGCCTACATCATGTTATTTTTCTTTGAAATTTCTTGGACATTTGCCAAGTTAGGAACATTCCACCCCCACACTGATCACATGGGGAGTGGATTTCCCACTTCCCCATTCTTGGTTTCATCTGTGATCAGAACGTCCACCTTTTTGGTCTAACTTGCTTCTAGGGTTAGACATTGACTTTACAGATCTCCCGGGTGTTTAAGATAAGCTTCAACCTTAGTCCTCATAAAATCCTAAGTCGAGCACTTTCCCAAATTCTCCACAGGGATGAAACTGGCACCTAACGTGTTGCTTCTCGGCCTGGTCCTCATCTTGCATGGAGCCAGCAGGACACTGATCCAGTCAGAGGCACACAGCTGTCGACACCCAGAGTGTGTTTCTGAGACAGTCTGGCAAGTAATTCAGAACCAGGGGTGCTCAGTCCTGTCCCAACACACCTGTGTCTTACTATCTTCCCCACACTAAGGAGTTTAATAAATACAAGTATACTTTTACGTGTTCGGTGTCATCAGTGTCACAGGGACACAATTGCACGCTGACACACCTTCAGTCTCAAGACAACAGCTGGGTACCAAAATTCTTTATTTAAAGAAATGGTACAAATGAAAGAACTTAAGCGGATGTTTCGGTGCGACTTATAGAAAAGATAAAGGCAGACCGACATGCACGCACTGCCTCAGTGACCAGTAAAGTCACTTGTGGCTTTGGGGAAGTCAGCTTAGCTCTGATTACTGTGTCCCAGGGTGTGCTTGTCAAACAGATATTCTGCCATGCCAGCTTCAGGAGCTCCCATCTTGCGCAAGTTGGTCACGTGGTCACCCAGTTCCTTGATGGATTTCACCTGCTCATTCAGGTAATGTGTCTCAATGAAGTCACACAACTAGGGAAGAGAACACGGGAGAAAGTCATTGGGTCAGCTCTCCCAAGCCCTGTGGCAAATGATTTCCTCCATTCACACCCCATGCTTCTAATACTCACATGGGGGTCATTTTTGTCAGTAGCCAGTTTGTGCAGTTCCAGTAGTGACTGATTCACACTCTTTTCCAGGTGCAGTGCACACTCCATTGCATTCAGCCCGTTCTCCCAGTCGTCACGGTCTGGTTTCTGAAAAGAGCATTAGGTCAGTTCATCCGTAGACTCTACCAAGCAACCTGCTGGTAAACAGCTCACCACCATGCTTTGCCCTAAGTTCCCTCTGACAACAGCTTCCCCCGGACCGTCCTTGTTCACTGCTGTCTGTCAACCTTGGTGTTGGTATAGGCCTAAAAAAGTCCAAGGACAAAAAGCCCATTTTCTGCGCATTTGTAAGACACCCCTAGATCTACTCACCTTGATATCCTGCAGGAAGATTCGGCCGCCTCGTTCGTTCTGCAGCTTCATCAGTTTCTCAGCGTGTTCCCTCTCCTCATGAGATTGGTGGAGAAAGTATTTGGCAAAGTTCCTCAGGGCCACATCATCCCGGTCGAAGTAGCAAGACTGACAAAGCAAAGGGTACATGTTACAGGTTCCCACAGCGAGGCAGCTGGGATCACTGTAGGTGTTAGGCTATTTGCTGCTCCACTCAGAAAGGAGGGGAGGACTTTGGAACTTGGCTTCAGCAAGTGTCCTATGGCTCGGTATCAACGCAGAGAAAAAGTTTTAAGCCAGGGCCAAATCTACTTGTCCGTGGGGGAGGGTGCTAGAGTACCCAGCCTGCACTGGGAGGCCATTTTTCTTCTCCTTCACCTCATGTAAAAAACAGCTAACACAAGCTTACAAGCCTTCCTGATGACTGATTTGTAAAATTAACATACCATGCCTGATGACATCTGAGGGAATTGTACTTTAGCACAAACATATCAGGAGATTTCATTGTTTCAGGCACTCGGTGTGTTTGGCCATTCCAAAGAATGACAGCCACAGAAGCCCAGGCCTGTTTCAAATCTATCTGGAAAACTTATTTTTGGATAATTCGCACAATCACAAGGCAATCAAAGGGTGATTCTCACTACACTGCCCCAAACCTGTTTTTCAGGAACATATTAGTGCATGGCAAACTTCCTTGCCCAGCAACTGATGGTGGGCTTTATCCAACAACTACCCACCGCTTCTGTTAGTAAGTCACAACTCTCAGAGGCAAAACTCGATACAGTACGTTGGATGTCTTAGGGGACAAAGTCAGGTGACACTAATGACTGCAGAAGGGGCGATTCTTAGAGATAATGTTTCAATACAAGCGAGGCTCTGTGATAAGCAGAGCGGAGAGGTGGAGACGGCTGCTTAAGAAGGGGTCAAGGTACGTTCACAAGAGATAAGCCTCTTTACACCAGGCCCCAACGCTGCCATTCGACACCATGATCAAGCAGACCCGCCACAGCTCTCAGAGGAACTGGAGCTGGATGCGTACCGAGGCAGAGAAGCCTGCAGGCCACGTGACCAGAGAGGAGAGCAGGGGGGAGGGGGGAGCACCTAACTGCAGGCTTGATTGGACGGGATGACAGTCCCGCAGCCTCAAGACCTCTAACAAGGGGGGCGTGTGTATAACCACGCGCCTGGTCTCTGAAAGAGTCGCTAGGGGCTAATAGCTCAGACACCCCCCGCCCCCGCTTCGCCAGGCCTGCCCAGGGAGAGCCCGAGCAAACTCCATTTTCCAAAAGGGCGCCGGGAGGCCTGCAGCTGGCCACGCCCCAGCCCGCGCCCTGCCTGCTCCCCCAGCGGCCCCGGGGAGGCCGCATCCGACTCCCGCCCCGCTAAAGGCCAGGCCGCGCTCACCATAGACAGGTAGACGTAGGAGGCATACAGTTCCAGGTTGATCTGGCGGTTGATGGCAGCCTCCGAGTCCTGGTGGTAGTTCTGGCGCACTTGCGAGGGAGACGCGGTGGTCATGGCGGCGGCGGCTGGCGACGCTGGAGCGGCGGAGCGACGAGGTTGCAGAGGGTTCTGGCTTGGAGCAGCCGGCTGGGGTCGGAGGGGTCGAGCGCCGGGTTCCGTTCAAGCACTGTTGAAGCAGGAAACCGCGGCGACTCCGGGCGAGAACGTCTGGCGCTGGTGGCCAGCGGGCAACTCTTATAGCGGGCGTCCGCGTCAGGTCGCGCTCTGGCCAATCAGCGCCGCGGGCCACCGAGACCCGCCTCTTCCGGTGAGCGTGTGGCCCAGACCCGCAGGGCGCGGGCGGGGATCCTGTGTGGGAGGTTGCGCAATGGGCGCTGTTCCTCTGCCAGAGCCGTGCCTGGCAATGAGCGGCCTGTTCTTGTGCCCCGAGGCGGGCGGTAGTTGGCTCCAGCCCTATGGCAGTGGCATCTGGGTCTTTGGAATCCTTGGGGACCGAGGGTGCAGAGGAGGGTGATTTTCAAGTCCCACAGGACATCCATCCCTAAGCTCAGTACGTGTTGTTGTTAAATCGTGATATACGTCAGGCCGTGACTTCGTCTTACAAATAGCAAAATGGAAGGTGGTGCTGTAGGTGGCGAACGAGTTATAACTGGGAAAGAGCGGCTGTATCTCTTTCAGTCTGTGGAGAGAAGCGTTAAGGAGGAGTAGAGGGCCTATTGGGGAGGAGGGGGGTTTGGGTCTGCCCCGTCATTCTGACTCAGGCAGCCCCGGCCTTTTGCTGATAGCAAAGATGGCTTCGGGCAGTTAAAAAAACAAAGGTTGAGGGGACGTTTACTCTGGAGAGCAGGGACAGCCTTCTGTGTGGGGAATCCTGGGGCCGAACCATCTAGGTTTCTGAGAAAGTCCCCAGTGATGCTGAAAATTAAGAGAGGCCTTTGGCCATCTACGTGTATCTGTTTCAAAATGGTCTCCTTCATCTCTCTCAATAACTTTGGTTTGCTTTGACCTTGGAGAAAAGCTGGTGGGGCTGAATGGCAGGTGACAGGTGTAGGAAACCTTGAAGGGATAAGCCAACTGTGTGTGTCTGGTAGCTGTGACCCAGCTTCAGAATGGTTGTGAATTCTTAGGTAGCAGAACTAAAGGTTAGCTACTACATCTAGCAAGGCCCTGCCATCTATGTCTGCTGCTCTCAGGCTAGTCTTTTGACACAGGTAGAAGCCCTAGCTGACGCTTCTCCAAATAGTCAAAACTGGGAGCTGGACTTTTCAAACATTTTGTTGTATATTTGAGACAAATGTTGACAAGGTTACTGTACAACTCAGACTGGTCTGGAACTCACTCTATAACCCAAACTGGTTCCTGATTCTCCTGCAAGTTTCCAGAGAGCTGGGATTACAACCCTACATTACTAATGATATTTATTTATTTATGTATTTATTTATTGGTTTTTCAAGACAGGGTTTCTCTAACTATGGAGCCTGTCCTGGAACTTGCTCTGTAGACTAGGCTGACCTTGAACTCATAGAGATCTGCCGGCCTCTGCCTCCTGAGTGCTGGGATTAAAGGCGTGCACCGTCACTGCCTGGCTGGTATTTATTCTTTTAAGAACATGTGTTGCTTTCAGGTAAGATTTCAGTGGTGCCCTCGCTGCAGCCTGCTGCTGGATAAACACCCTAGCATCAAACTTCAGGAGGACGACCCTAAGAGAAAGATACTGAGATAAATTTGGTGAACAGACTCCCATTGGAAAGTGTAGGAGTGAGGTAGGAAAAGGAATTCTAAGCAGAGGGATTAGCGTGTGCACAGGTGTGGAAATACTTCCTGTTCCAGAAACCTTAAGGAAAGCGTTTGTTGGCCTGGAAAACAAAGTACATCTTGGGAAGTGCTGGAAAGAATACAGTTAGATTTGGGGTGCCATAAAAAGTCATTAAACTTTACCCTGCAGGCAATATGGTGATACCATACCCATTTGTTTTTAGCCACAATCAGGAAATGTGATGGGAAAAGATGGAGTGGGGGGTGATATCAAATATTTTCACTTAGATCAGCAGCATATATTCCAAGTACCAAGTAATAAGATTAACAGTAACATGAAGTAAAACAAAACAAAACAAAAAACCAAAAAACAGTTACCGTGATAAGGAGTTCTGAAGGGTCAACCTCCATACTACAATGTCAGCTCTAACCCTGTAATTCAACAGTCTGAAATGTAAAATCACAGTGTTTCCTTGCTAGGGTGTGATTCTGAGGTTCAAATGGAGTCATTGGACTAGCTGATAAACATTGGAGGAAAACAAAACTATAAGGGAAGATTGCTTGAGATCACTATTTTACACACACACACACACATTTGTATATATTATAAAAAGTATGGTACTGGCACAGGAAGATTAGATCAATATCAAAATATTTCTATCCATATACGTATAGGAATTTGATATAAGTTAAAGTCATGCCTTTCAAATTAGGGAAGAATGGGCTTAACCAATAATGTCGACACAATTATCATGTGGAAAAAATGAATCATTCTGTATTTAAAAATACCTTCCAGATGAATTAAAAATACAACCCTTAAAGCTGAAATCTATAAAGTTTTAAGAAAACTGCTAAAGAGATTATCCAAATTTGGAGTAGGGAATGTTCTTTTGAGTCTGTCAAAAGTTGGCAGGTTTGACTGCTTAAAAATGAAAAGGGTTTAGCTAAAGATATTTTAAACAGAAATGATGTGTTAGGCTGGTGGTGTATGTTGTCCATAGAAAGGATGAAGATCAAGAGCCAGCACATGTATGCATAATTGTATAATACACGCTGTTTTCCGTCTTGGGGATGGAACCTAGGGCCTGGGGCAGACTACCCAGGCCCTCTACCACTGAAGTACTCCTGCTGCAGTCCGATTCTTTTTTTCATTTAAAGATGGTCTCACTGTATTGTCTAGGCTAATCTTGAAAGCCTAGGCTCAAGCAATCCTTTTTAATTCAGCCTCTCTAATACCCAGACTCCATTGTATCACTGCACTAGTCTATGCGATATCTGTAACCACTCCTTTTATACGGACTGCTTGGTTGACTTTCCTACTACCATAGATTGAGGCATTTCTAGCACACTCAGTCCTTTGCAAGGTGCTTGTGTCTTGGAGCTTGAACAAATGGATGCATTTTGTGTAGAGTTTGGATTCCAGTCAAGCAGAGGGCTGGGTACCAGTTGGGAGACAGCTGCCATGGTTTTTAATGAGCGTAGGAGACAGAAAGCAGAAGAGAGACTGTGGAGAAGATGAGATGAGTTGAATGGTTGGATATTTTGTGGATTGGGAGGTGGGGTGTGAGTACCAGGTCCTCCAGTTTTCAGGCCTGGACAGCTGGATTGCTGCAGCCCTGCATGATGCCAGGGAAACACAGAAGAAGCACAAGTTTGGAGAAAGGCTTTTGAAAAAGGTCAGTTTGGTTTTGGACTGGCTATGTTGAGTCTCTAAGACTCCCAGGTGAACAGAACAGCATAAAATTAAAGTTAGCTTCACTGAAAGGAGGTCTGGGCTGCTACATTAAATTTTGTGAATCAGTATTAGCTCCTTGCTTGTTAAATACATCCCTAGTTACAGAAAACAGCAGAGCAAACCAGGGATACTGTGTACTGTAGAGGGTCACTAAGGGAGGAGGTCTTGAAAGGAAATGGGAAGTGTGTGAGCATCTTGCATGGGCCTGGTTCCCATCTTTTGGGAGCATTGGGTGTCGGACTGCTATCTCCAAGCCTCCAGATTCTGAAGATGTGGCTGGGTCTTAAGAGGTTTGTTGATCAGGCTTCTGCCTCCCCAACCCCCACGTTGCCTCTATTCCTCGTGACTTTGAGGAGGGAGTTTGGCTAGCTGCCCAGAACAAGTTGAACAGTGGCCTCCCAGAGCCAGGAGCCACACAGCAAATGCAGGCCTGGAGAGAGAGGAAGGCCCCTCTGTTCTGTAGAATACTAGCTTGTTGCTGACAAAAGGTGGGGGTGGAGAAGCCTTGTGGTGGAAGGCTTTTGTTCACTGTGACTCAGCACTCTGCTCCTCCAGAGGGGTTGGGCTCCAAAAGTGCTTTGTCATGGAGGGGCAGGACAGTCTGGGAGGCTGTGGTTTTGCTCAGGGAGAGAGGGCAGGGGGAGAGGGAGAGGAGCAGGAGGCAACATGTGAGAGCTCCTCATTCCCCCATGGGACACAGAAGCTGAACTGAGACTGAAGAAGTCTTGATCACCCAGCCAGGCTTGGATGATATTTTTTGCCAGAAATGCCTTTCTGTCTCTTGTAGGGACTTCTCAGCAGATAGTGGAACTCCTTTCCTTCTAGTAATTTCCCCTCTGCAGTTAAAGCTGCTGAGGATGCCACATCCAAGAAGCCTTAGACATTTGGTACATTAGGGTCCAAGGGACACTAGAGCTTACAGATCACTTTACCTTGTAGGGTAGAAAGTGAGACCCAAAGAAGGTGAGGCTTGCTCAGGGCAATAATCACCAACTAAAACTGTGTTGCGGTGGAACTCCAGGGCGATCATTAAATGTCATGTGACCGTTAAATTAAATGTAGAGCAAAGTATGTGTTGGAACACCTGGGCGATCATTAAACATCATGTGACCTTTAAATGAAATGCGGAGAAGAGCATGTGATGGAACACGAGGGCAATCATTAAACATCCTGTGCTCGTTAGATGTATGATGAATGTGTTGTCAGAGTGTGCATTTGGAATAATGTTAAGTGAGAAATCAGAGTCCTAAATAGTTCCTGGAAGCCAGTTACCGAAAGAACTTCACAGGACTGCAAAGAGGTTAAGACTGGGTGGAAATGGGCTAAAGGCTTTTGAGGCTAAGCAGCCAGTGTTGCAAAAGTGTGGGATTCCCTGAGAGTTGTGCAGGAAGTTCTGACATTTGCAAAAGCACCACTCAGCCAGATTCTGTCTGGTACATTCTAGATGAACCAACTGTCATTCGGAGAGCATGTCCTTAAATCATTTCTTAAAAATTCATGAGGTCATGTAGACTTAAAAGTCTAGACAGACACCCAGAATCCCTCTCTTCTGTAATACTTAAGGTTGAGATTCACAACCTGGAATGTTAGGGGACAGTTGTGGATGGAAGCCCTGCCTCCCCTTAAAAAGGTAATTCAGGGCTGGAAAGTTAGTTGACTTGAGTTCCCTCCTCATCTGCATGGTAGAAGGACTGAACCTATTCCTGCAAGTTGCATGCCCTTCCTGCTAAATATAAAATTTAAAAACA